GTTGCATTAAATGCGATCTGCATGTTGCCCAGTTGCGGGCAGTGAGTCGCGAATGCGCGTAGCCCGCCAAGTGTTATTCCAGGAGTGCACCACACCGCAGTATATGCCAAAAAAAGCTTCCGCAGCTCGGGAAATGCGCGAGCCATGTCCCACAATGCGGCATCGTCGAGTTCAAAGGCTAACCCTCCTCGGGATTCCAAATGAAGTGTCTGGATGCGGCCGAAACAGAACAACGGGGAGATTGTGTGACCGTCGAGAACATCTCGCTCGTCCGAGCCGGGGTAGTGGGCAAGTTCCATGGTAACCTCGATGGGCGCGCTGTGTGCGATGTGTGTGGAGAGTAGGAGGCAGAGAGATCTCATGGTAATTTCGGTGGGAAGTCGCTGCGGAGAAAGAGGCGCGCAACTGGACTGTTGGATAGTCCCTGTATGAGGGCGGCTATGAAGTCGGGTGGCGTGTTATAGAAGGAGAGATGAATGAGCGCAGGGAATCCAGTCGACGTCGGCGGAATGACTCCAGGATATAGCTCGCAAGCGAGTTCGTTAGGGTGGTCTTTTATGAGGGATTTGAGAGTAGCAAGGCTGCCAAGATGTTCGAGCGCCGCTCGATTAAATGTGGGCACATCCAGGTCCGTTACTCGGTCCAGTGACCGTAAAAATGTCGAAATGAGGTTAGTGTCCGTCCATCGGTCCGTCGCCAATGTCACGGGTGTAAATGAGGAATGTATGGGCAATAGAATGGGTAGCAAGGAACACTCGCTGATATCTCGGACGGCCATCCACATTTTCGTAACACCACTGGGGAGAAACAGCCGAAGATGTGGGCGGAGCAACTGTGTTTGATTTACCGTTGTGTCTATAAACACACTGCTTCGGAGAGAAGGCAACAGAAGACCATGCGTCAGAAAAGGCCGTATTTGTTCCAGAAGACCAGAAATCCCAGGAGTCACCGTTTTCTCGGTCAAATCCAAGACCCTGACGCGCATCGAGTGGATTAGGAGGCGCTCCAAATCAAAACGATTAACAGGGCGAAGCAAATGCTAGAAAAATATTGGCCAGGATGCCTTTGATGGACAGATTTTACTCACAAACGAGCTACCGTCATCCAAGATCCCCCGCTCATCATCCCACACAGCTGCGGGTAAACACCTCAACACATCAATAAGTGTAGTTTGGCGCTCCCATAAACCATTGAGCGCGCTATGAGTGAAGATGGTGGCTGTTTTCGCCAGCGCCAAGAAAGTTTTGCAGCGGAGCTGGTCACGGTAATCAAGTTCGGCGACAGAATCACATATCAGTTGCACGATTTCGGCGATGTTTAGGGCAGGATGCATCTGTTCTACCGGCGCGCTTCAATTCAGATGTGGTGGATCAGAAGCGGGGTTTCCGTAATAAGCTGTTACACGTCAAAACATCAAACACAACGCCACTTTGTCTTTGTTCGAGCCTCCCGAGTGGCGATCCACTTAGTTCCGAAACCAATCTCACTTTTGCGCTCCGACCATACTTGCAATTACATTTCGCAACGCATGGCTTCGAGTGATGGAAGTAACGAACGAAAGCAGGATATCTCGCGCTTAGACCGTTTTCGATCTGACGAGAAACTCGACTAGCGCGGCAAAAGCGCGGCCCGCCGGGTGAGCTTTGGGGGAGCTATTACCAAGGCTATTACCTGAAATAATGATTTTTGTTGGGTGAGCTTTAGGAACTGACCTGAGCGCAATACTTGCTGAACTTGGATTTTGCGTGTAGTCTAGTACATTAAACGGAGCAGATAGAAGTCATCCACACAAAGGTAAGTCTGTACACGGTACACTTGGTCATGTACTAAGTCAACAGTCAAATATATCGGACAAGTTGTAATCCAGATACGCAATCCGTGGACGTGCACTAATCGATTATGATCGAAGGAAAAAACCGAAGTAAATAAAATGTGAATAGCGCGGTTATTCGGCTCCATCAATGCTGGCGCGCGATTCTCTGACTCTAAAACAAAATAGCAGGGGAGCGGTAAGGAGAAAGTCACGCATGCGGCGCAGCCTTATCATAGCTGACCGCGACGAGAGCCAACAAGCACCTCCAACCTAGAGCGGACGTTTGGGTGCCCAAGAGCGGACGCCCTCATCTCGAGTCTCGATAAAAGCGCCGGCGTACCGCATGGCTAACGCCCGCCGGGTGCGTAGATACGAAGCGGCCATAAACACCCGGCAGACGCGGCCGAAGGTGAAGACGCGCGCGCGGAAAGCCACGACGAGAGATGCCCAAGAGCGGACGCCCTCATCTCGAGTCTCGATAAAAGCGCCGGCGTAGCGCATTGCTAACGCCCGCAGGGTGCATAGATACAAAGCGGCCGAAAACACTCGACAGACGCGCGCGGAAAGCCAAGACGAGAGAGGGAGAGGAGGATGGAGTCCCCACGCGAGGTGTGGAGAAACGCCACCTTCGAGAAGAATGGCACGTCGCCCGCAAGAGGAATAGTATGCCACTGCCTCTGCCCCCGCCGTTGCCGCAGACGTATGTTTTCCCGGCGCGCGAGCCTTCCGCAACGTCGTACCAGCCACGTCGCGCGCGCAACGTGAAGACGGAGGGAGTACGAAGATATAGAGGGCGACGCGCCGCGGAGGGCTCACACCCCTCTGCGGCGCCATATCAGGCGACGATCCCAGATAAAGAAAGGAAGAAAAAATGTGAATGAAGAGCGCAAGAGCCGCGAGGAACGGGTCTAGGTGCGGGTCCGTCCACTCGATTAAGGTCCCAAAACCCCCAAAGAAGACGAAGATAAAAGGAAGGAAGAGGAGCACAGCGAAAGGGGATCGTACGCACCTTCAGGTGGGCTGTGTCGTCTTCTCTTTACCGCGCGCTCCGTGCTCTTGCTCTTCTTTGCCGTGTGCTGCTCGTGCTCCCTCACGCCGGCTCCCGCGCAGGGCCGCGTCGAGGGCGGAGGTAAGAGTTAGAGGGCCGCATCTTCTTCGAGCATGCGGTGGGTTGGATAGCGAGAGTGTAGGGAGAAAGATAAGCGACACATGGGGTATGGGGAGGAAGAAGAATGGACGAGAAGAAGAGGAAGAAGAGCGACGTATGGAGTCGAAGGGAAAGGAGGGCGAGACGCGCGATAAAGACGAGGGCGAAAGATTGGAAAGCTGGCATAACGACAACGTAGCAGGGACGGACACGGACGCACCTCTTGTAACCCGGCACGACAACAGCGCGTGCGATGCATCGCAGCCGGTGAGCCGCACTCATCGTCTTCTCGTTCAAAGGGTTCGGTCCACGTCGTTCTCCTCCTCACCCTGCCCACTAAACTTGATGGTTGTCGCCAGACATAGCGGCGGAAGACCAGGAGGTATGTACCCGCAAGCTCCAGCATCGGGGGTGCCACTTCGTCGGCGCTGTGGGTGTATACTACAGAGATTTCCACACCTTTGAGGCGTAACATGAACGCGAACGACAGGGACGTGTCGAGAAACAGTGCCCGATAATCCGAGTTCCAAGCGAGAAATGGACCCCGAACTGAGGATTATTGCACTCGGGGTCGTCGTTGTTCAAGTTGCTCAAGTTGCTGGTTCTGCCCATTCACCGTTGTCCGCACTTCAAAGAGTTGGAAGAGAAACAAAGGCAGTTGACGCCTGACGCACGTGCCCGGTGGCGCGGCCGGCTTTTGATGGGTCTCAATTTTTCTCGCCTCACGACCCAACTAACCAACCGGCATCTGGTTGCCGTTTTAAATGCCAGTGCCAACGACTCGACTCGCCGGATCACCCGAAGGCATCAAATCTCGCTCTCCATGTCCCCGCTCGCCTGCCCTCTCAGCGCACTTCCTGCTCCTTTCTCTCCCCGTCGTCTTTGCCAAATAGCTACGGAACACTGCCCACCCCGCTGCCCCGCTTATCTTCCACCCTCCGTTCATCACTCATCCCCACGACCCCGCTATACGTCAAGTCCTACCTCGACATCCTGCTGCTGACGTACACAATCGTCCTCGTCTCGTTCCTCCGGCGCCTATTCTCTAACTGCTTCTTCCCGATTCTGGCGCGGCGATGGGGGATCGCGCGGGAGCGCAAGCTACTGCGGTTCGGCGAGCAGGTGTACGCGGTGGTGGGGGTGTCGGTGGGCGGTGAGTATTGCTTCTTCTATTCTCTTCTATGTATTGTGACGCAGTACATAATGTCCACCGCCCCTGCGCGCTGGTTCCCGCCCGCCTTCTAGACTAACTCCCACCCCACATGAGCGGCACGATTAAGACCGGTACTACCTCAACGCAGCTCGCTTATTGGCTGCACCAGTTTTTGGTGAGGTCTTCTTTCTTTTTTTTCTCTTCTTCTGCTCCTACTCCATTACTCCGTTGTCTCTGTTCCGTTGTGTCCACCAATGGCGTTTCGTTGTGACATCGTGTTCACTGGCGCTGTATCCACTCTATTCCGGCTCGCTCCGCCGTATCCATCCGTATTCCGCTCCATGGTGTGCCCCCCCACTTTCGCTCGCGTTACTCTTCGTTCCCCTTGTTCTTCTTTCCCTTCTGTGTTGATCGGCAGCCCGGGCCGGTCGATCAAGCTATCTATCGCTTTGGTCGGTGTCCAAGAGGCATGCTGGGGATATAAATAAGTCTGGGAAGAACTTTCCAGGGCTTCTTTGTGATGAATGATATTACAGCACAAAAGAAAAGAAAAGAAAAGAAAAGAAGGGGCTAGAACCAATCGATATAATGCCCACGGGAGGATTCGAACCTCCGTCTCCCATTGAACGCGATCTTCGAAAGGTAAAGAGGAGTGGGTGATTTACTATTAATCAACGAGGGCTTCATGTCTTTGCCATGGACCTTGTTTGACATGCCCCCATTTGGATCCGGGGGGGGAATCAAACTCACACGGGCATCTCGTGGACCTACATCTGTGACGGACATTTGGAAGGTGTGCATACTTTTAAAAAATTAAAGAAATGTCGAGCACCTGGTGGACTTCGGTACTTCCATGTAGGAAGAAAAAGCTCGAACCGCTTGCACTATGCCCTGGGAAGGAGTCGAACCTCCGTCTCCCCCTGGATCGTACAAAACTTCCGGATCTCTGATGAGTGATTTACCATTAATCAACGAGGGCTTTCTATCCCTCTGCCGGATCTCGATATGGTGCCATCTAGGTCTGCGAGAACAAAAACCCCCTTTAACTTCGACACACTCAGAAAAATCCTGTATCTCGCCGTGGGTCTACGTCAAGACCACATCGGATCCCACGTGAATACCCGTTTCGAACTTATCCTCTGCTGCTGCGACAGCAGAATAGGTGGTGGGCGATTGTCCCTCATCGTGCTCTCTCCTTTATTTAAATTGTTATAATTTAAGGCGAGCAAAATATTCAACATCACCTACCTTTTCACTGAGATAAAAGGGGCTGATTTATATGCATGTGGAGTGTCGCCCTACTCACGCCGCTGAGGAGCAGAAGGAAGGGCGTGAATTTGGCGATAGGGAAAACAGAGCACAACAAGTGTGACGGAGAGCTGTCGGCTAGAAGTCGGTGGCTAGTTCCGGCACAGAAGTTTGGGTTGCTTGGTGGTCGGACAAGCAGGTAAGTGGCGTAATAGTACTGTATTTTTTCAATCGATTCGACAGTCACGCGTCACAGGGGGGTCTGACGGTGTCGAAATCCGTTCACATGTCACGGGTCACAGCGGTGGTTGTCGAATTCATTTTTCGGTTCACAAAATCATGAAAAATGCGGTTTTCGCGCTGAAATTTAGTTTAAAATTTCCGCCAGTGCCTACAGCCTACAACTAACACGTAGAAGTAATGAATGTCTCTAGAACCCACTACTTGGTTCATATATGCACACGGGAGAGTTAAAATTCCACTCAAATTCTGTGTTGAAAGGCTTTTCGCCACCAACTCCTGTTCCTGATGTTCTAGAAGCCGCACAAATGCTACAAAAAATCAGAGATGAAGGCTGGTTTCAAAGCCATCGCTCTGTGAAGAATGTCGAATTTTTTCAGGCTGTCACGGTCAGCCAGGCCATCTGTCGAAATGTCGAAATGCAATTTTGGTGTCACAGTCACACCCCTTGTCGAATTGATTGAACAAATACAGTAGTATTGACCAAAGAACTAACTACGTACATCACTGACTTATATAGTAGGGTAGATAGGGGTGAGATATATAAGGGGTCATAACAATGGAGACGGAAATAGATATATGACGCGTCTGAGTAAATGGGATGGTAAAGAAAAAGGATGGGGGAGGAATGTGTGTGTGTATGTAAAAGGGAATAAGAACGCAACCGTGGGAGCGTACCGTTACAACAAGGCCAAAGCGATCACTCGTGACCGCGCCTTTCTCTTCCCACCGCCACCAGTCTCGCTTTGCCTTCCTCGCCGCAGCGCATTTTATTCGTACCTTTCCGAGGGTCAAACAGTGAGCAAGTACTGCTTCCATCAATCTATTCCACTGACCTCTCAGATCTCAGGGCTTGGCTGGAGTCGACGATGGCCGATTCCACGGATACCCCCAGCAGCAGATCCTTACGCTCGGAAATGCGCACCCAAATATCTGAGTTTGACGCTCGCATTTCGGCTCTCGAAACCTCTCTTGCCGCTGCGCGCTGCGAGCGAAAGAAGTTGCAATCACGCCTTAGCGACTACAAATACCCCGTCCTCACCCTCCCCGTCGAAATCACGGCGGAAATATTCATTAATTTCCTCCCGGCGTACCCCGAGCGCCCTCTATTTTCTGGTCTGTTTTCTCCAGAGTTGTTTCTCCAGGTGTGCCGGAATTGGCGCGAGATATCCTTGGACACGCCCAGGCTATGGAGCGTGATTTACATTTACCTTTACAAGGGATGCTCATTGGATGGACGGCTGAATCTGCTTGCAACTTGGCTTTTGCGCTCAAAGAACTGCCCTCTGTCTCTCTCCTTCGAAATAGAGGCCGGTTTTACATTCCCGGAACTCCCTCATTTCACGGCCGCCCTCATCTCACATTCGGAGCGAACATATCAAATTAATCATCCCTTTCGATGATCTTCGCCGGCTCGACCGCCCTTTCCCTCTGCTACGTGACCTGACTTTCGGTCCTAATCATGCTGCGACGGAAAGCACCATCGTGGTTTTTGGCAATGTACCGCAATTGAAGAGTGTTGACCTCGATGTGATGTTTGATCCCTCTCAAGTGGTCCTGCCGTGGTCACAGCTAACCAGAGTCTCTGCGGAGATGACTCCCGACGCAGCAGCTGACATTCTGCGGCAAGCCTGTACCCTCGCAAAGTTCACCTGCATTCTTTGGAGCAATCCTGGGGGAAATGCTATTCCAGTTCCAGCAGGAGTCGTACCACCGCTTATCCATCTCGAATCATTGATTCTACTTCATTGCGGTTGGGAGAAGGTCCAAAAACTACTTCTTGACGCCCTCACTGCACCGGCTCTCCGACACCTCACAATCTCAGAGTATGAGCTCGGTGACAAACCCCTTTCCACAATCGCCGCATTTCTTTCCAGATCGCGCTGTTCCCTCCAAAAATTGCACGTCACCGTGGCCAATCTGCCAAGGGCTGCGTACTGCGCAGCATTTCCCTCGATTCCGATAATTGATGTGAGAAAAGGATTGGATTGAATGGAAGACTTTCTTGAACGCTGTATTCCTATATTTTGTACGTTCCATGTTTACCTGGAAGCGTATTATGGCCACTCATGTTCCCAACTAGCTCAGGTGTGGATTTGTGCGGTACTGTCAGCGGGAATCTCCACTTCATGTATACTGTACCGTTACCTATTTGGTGTTTGCTTCTTTGCCGAGCTCACACTGGCAAGGCCGCCAGCAATCACATTGGTATATACTGCATCCTGTGTGTACTCCTTGCAAACCCTACTCACCGAAGCCGAATTCACAGTCCTTTAATCACGACTCGGTGGAAAAAGAAAAATCAGCACGAAGTTGAACACCCTTCTCACTTTCGCTCAGGAAGGTAAAAGCGATCCTAAGTTCCTGTATTTGCGACACAGTTATACTATATTGGGTGAATTAAAGAAAGGAAGGGGAAGGATTGTTGCAACTGACATCAATCTGTGAATTATCTAGCCGTTCCTCGAGGCCACTGTCTATGCACTCGTGATTCATCTAGCCGAACGCCTTTCTACTCAAAAAATATATAAAAATATGAATGCATCGAATTCTTCGAGAAGATACTGAGCATCCGTCTCGCATTTAATATTTTCGTGATTGTTCCTAATCAACAAGGCCTCTCTCGTTAATTTTCAATATGCGGGTAAAATATTCGAACATCGCCTGTCACTGAGAAAACGGTGCCTGCGGAGTATCTCCCCTCCTACACCGCCGAATGGCAGTAGGAAGGGGACATCAAAGTTTGGGCAATGGGCTAAGTAAAACAGAGCACAATAAGGACAAAGCAATCACTCGTGACCGTGATGGGACTAAGCATCGCGTACCAGGGCATCGTAGGCGATGACCCGGAAACGAGGTTTGGTGGAGAATATCCCGCGAAGTAGGCCTGGGCCCCCCATGGCGACTTCAATAATCTCACGCGTACCACGTCAAGTCCAAAAGCGGTAACTCCGCATCAATCATTCTATTTCCAAATGGATCGGGCGGTTGTTTCAGCGGCAGCCAAGATAATATTCGTCAGGAACAAAACGTTATCGACTAAGGGCCCGGAGCCACGAGGAACCTAGAAAACGAGGGAAAATGACTCACATCCATCACAGTCTCCATCTGGGTTTCATTGTTTGTGGGACATCATGAAACTGCCGAGCGTTTTTCAAAAACTCCATTTTACAAAGTAAATTAACGGAGGTATGAGCCCAGGGAGTCGAACTAAGGCGAAGTAAGACTACGCTCGGAAAAACGTATTAAGCACCCGTAAATATATAGCAGTCAATGGGACGTGTCTTGGTTGTCCGTGCGTAACTTTGGGATCCAACGATGAAACCATGAATAAAGATGTCGTGACGATGAACTCGTATGAACAGGACAGCATGCAATGTTGAATCACCCTTTAGTAGTAGCCTCCCGAGCCGCAGCCGGAGCCTTCACAGCTGGTCTCATGGTGGCTTCCGGTGGGCGTGGGGGCAGGGTATGTGCCTGAGTTCAAACCGATCTCCTTGCACTGAATTGGGAGTGAGTGTGGGAAACTGGGTGGTTCAAATAAAGCGAATATACCTTCTGTAGGCACCTGGACAGGCCAGTCTCCTTAGTATTCCGGACGTGGGTGGTGGTGACTGTGGCAGTTTCCGTCGACAGGTGAGTCCTGGTCTGAGTCTCAGTGATACTGTCGACCCGCGTGGAGGTAATGGTGTGGCGGATCGTCTCAGTCTTGAATAAATATAGTCAGTTATCGCAGCAAGAAGGGAGGAGGTTGAGAACGGACCTTGTCCTTGATCGACGTGGAAACCCAGACTGAGTGGATCGTTGTCGGCCGTGTGATAGTTATAGTGTCGGTCATGGTGACGCGGTCCGTGACGGTGTCGGTCTTAGTCTTTGTCTCGAATCTGGTGATATCCTCCGTGACGGTGCCGGTCTTGGTCTTCTCGACAGTCTTGGTCTGAAAAAAAAAAACGGTTAGAGAAAAGTCGAGTGCAAGCAAGGCGCGATGCTCACCTTGTCAACAACCAAGGTCGTCACCCATGTTTTAAGGTAGGTGGTCGGCACCACGACGGTGGAAACAACGGTCCTCGTCATGAAGTCGGTGATGGTGCGGTCCCGTGTCTTGGTGTCCGTCTCGGTTTCGGTGTCGGTCTTGGTGTAGACCTTGATGGCGGTCGAAGTCTCGGTGGCGGTCAGGGTGTGATCTATCGTCCTGGTCTTGTCGATGATCTCGGTTGAAACCCAGATACGAGTCGTCGGGACCACCTTGGTGGAAGTGTGGACCTGGGTGATGTGCTCAGTGTCGGTCTTGGTCCTCGTCTCGGTCTTAGACATGGTTATGGTGGTCGGAACCGTCTTGTACTGTACATATGTCAGTTGGGGCTGAAACATTGCAGCTGGTCGGCCGACGGACCTTCGTCTCCGTAACAGTGTGCTTCTCGGTGACAGTGTGCTCGTAGTTGTAGCAGTACTCGTTGTTGTAGCCATGATCCTCCTTGTTGCTAGAAAAAG